TGAAATCTATATTTTTTTTAACACACGAAGTTCAAGAATTGGCATCACGTTAAACTACATAATGATAGAACATTCAACCGAAATATCACCCAATGAGTTGTTACATTTTTACACTTATGTTTTTCCTGCAGATTGTGTGAGTGGCGGGTGCTCCAAGTTAGGCAGGGCATTTCTACCCTTTTCGCAAACACCTGGTGTCATTTCTGATTTTCAGTGATATATTCAAATAATGTTCATCACTATTGTGTCTTTTACGCCGAAAGCAATCGATTTCCGCAGCTAATCAAAACTGTGATTTTGTATCAAGATTAGATATTTTTTTCAGCTACGGCTATAGCTACAAAACGAGATATTGTTTTACTTAAAACTTTGATCCTGAATATAAAATGGATGGTCCCTAACGGGATCGGGTGGTCAAACGCTCGCTGTCATTGTATCCCAAACAAACAAACAAACAAACAAACGTCTGTAATTCCCCCACTTGCATCAATATACCATCAACTGTAATTGAGCAGCACTTGGCCGCAAGGTGACAGTGCTATTACTATATGACATGACAAAACGACACCGTACACAGTAAAAATATAAGAAGCATGTATTAATATACGTAATAATGTATATAAAAAGTTTCTCTCTTTTAAACAATGAACGGGAAGCTCTGGAAATCTACAAAAGTATCTAAATCGGATACACTCGCTCGGCAGCTGATGTTGGAGTCCTACATCATGTACCACAGGTCATTGACCTACAATTCAAACGTACACGAACCTGGCAACAACTGTGCATAATGGACAGTTTCAACATGAACCCACTCTAATAAAACAAATCTGGCATGTTGATAGACTATTCAGTATTGTGAATGTTCGTCGCAGATATCCCGTCTGTAAGGCCTATCATTCACATCGGACACGTGCGATTCAAAAGTTTAAATGTGAAACGCACTCCCCTGACGTCGCGAAGCAGAAACTATGTCGACGTCCGAAGAGCCATTTGCCTGAACGAGTTGGCCTGCTCGCCGAGTGCATTTCTGTTGTGCCGAACTGGGTTGCCTCCCTTGACGGCTCTCGCGGGTAACAACACTATGGTCGTGCATTACTTTCGTCAATAACGTCATTGACGTCAATATCTAGCGAGACGTTAAAACAACGTTTTGGTTGAAGCTTGGGCTTGTGTAAGACACATTATTATCGATGATGTATGATGCTGATACCAGACACAGAGATATACAATTCAGAGAGATGGTTTACATTGGTGTGTTTGTTTGTTTGTTGTTTAACGCCGCACTCAGCCATATTCCAGCAATATGATGGTGGTCTGTAAATAATCGAGTCTGGTCCAGACAATCCAGTGATTGATATGATCATGATATATTGAGCATCGATCTACGCAATTGGGATACGATGACATGCAGCAACCAAGTCAGCGTGCCTGACCACCCGATTCCGCTGGTCGCCTCTTACGACAGGCATGGGTTAATGAAGAATTATTCTAACCCAGATCTTCACGGGTAATATTGGTGTGTACGTATTGATATATAATGTTGACTGTTTTCAGACGATGATATTGAATTATATCCGATGTTACGATAAACATTTAGTAACATGTGACGTGATGCTATCTAATGTTGAGTGCTACGAGACGTGATGCTGTATAATGTGTGTGATATGAGACGTTATGCTATATATCGTTGAGTGATATGAGACGTGATGCTATCTAATGTTGAGTGCTACGAGACGTGATGCTGTATAATGTGTGTGATATGAGACGTTATGCTATATATCGTTGAGTGATATGAGACGTGATGCTGTATAATGGTGAGTGACATGAGACGTGATGCTATATAATAGTGAGTGACATGAGACGTGATGCTATATAAAAGTGACTGATATGAGACGTGATGCTATATAATAGTGAGTGATATGAGACGTGATGCTATATAATAGTAAGTGACATGAGACGTGATGCTATATAATAGTGAGTGATATGAGACGTGATGCTATATAATAGTGAGTGACATGAGACGTGATGCTATATAATAGTGAGTGATATGAGACGTGATGCTATATAATAGTGAGTGACATGAGACGTGATGTTATATAATAGTGAGTGACATGAGACGTGATGTTATATAATAGTGAGTGACATGGGACGTGATGTTATATAATAGTGAGTGACATGAGACGTGATGCTATATAATAGTGAGTGACATGAGACGTGATGCTATATAATAGTGAGTGACATGAGACGTGATGTCATATAATAGTGAGTGACATGAGACGTGATGCTATATAATGGTGAGTGACATGAGACGTGATGCTATATAATAGTGAGTGACATGAGACGTGATGCTATATAATAGTGAGTGATATGAGACGTGATGCTATATAATAGTGAGTGACATGAGACGTGATGTTATATAATAGTGAGTGACATGAGACGTGATGTTATATAATAGTGAGTGACATGAGACGTGATGTTTTATAATAGTGAGTGACATGAGACGTGATGTTATATAATAGTGAGTGACATGAGACGTGATGCTATATAATAGTGAGTGATATGAGACGTGATGCTATATAATAGTAAGTGACATGAGACGTGATGCTATATAATAGTGAGTGACATGATACGTGATGTTATATAATAATGAGTGACATGAGACGTGATGTTATATAATAGTGAGTGATATGAGACGTGATGCTATATAATAGTGAGTGACAAGAGACGTGATGCTATATAATAGTGATTGATAAGAGACGTGATGCTGTATAATAGTGAGTGATATTGAGCATGACGATGAACTTGTTGTTATCCTGCCTGACGTTCGGCATAAGCGGGTTGAAACAGGGACAAGTCGGCCTCATCAACACTCAGGGTACTTCCTCTTTAAGTTTGTTATCTCCCAACCCATGTTATAGTCGCTATTTTCCACCCAGTTTCGTATTACATAAATATTCACAGACATTAACACAACTATTAATATATTTTTTATGGAGAAGCGGATCGACCAGAAATTGCTGGTAGCTGGACTAGTCACGTGACGCTCTCAGCAAACATGGCGTCGATAGGGAACGTTAGAATGGATGACGTCATAGTCACGATGTAAAAATGAAATCTGGATAAAGCTCACTGCTATACACTTCAAAACGTCAGTGGGAAAGTATGTCCTATGCTAAACTCCAGCGTATGCCACACATCATTATTGAACACCTCTGTTACTGACATCAAGAAAGGTGTATAATGCTGTTACGAACGACAAGAAATATGTGTATTGCTGTTGTGGACAAGAAAGGTGTATATTACTGTTACAGACGGCAGGAAAGGTGTATATTGCGTTATTGGACGGCAAGAAAGGTGTATATTGCTGCTACAGACGGCAAGAAAGGTGTATATAACTTTGACGAACAGACAAGAAAGGTGTATATTGCTGTTTCGAACGTCAAGAAATGTGTATATTATTGTTATGGACGGCAAGAAAGGTTTATACTGCTGTTACGGACGGCAAGAAAGGTTTATATTGCTGTTACGGACGGCAAGAAAGGTGTATATTGCTTTGTCGAACAGGCAAGAAAGGTGTATATAGCTGTTACGAACGTCAAGAAATGTGTATATTACTGTTACTGACGACAAGAAAGGTGTATACTGCTGTAACGGACGTCAAGAAAGGTGTATATAGCTGTTACGGACGGCAAGAAATGTGTATATTCCTGTTACGGACGGCAAGAAAGGTTTATACTGCTGTTACGGACAGCAAGAAAGGTGTATATTGCTGTTATGGACAAGAAAGGTGTATATTGCTGTCACGAACGTCAAGAAATGTATATATTATTGTTATGGACGGCAAGAGAGGTTTTGCCTGCTGTTACGGACAGCAAGAAAGGTGTATATTGCTGTTATGGACAAGAAAGGTGTATATTGCTGTTACGAAATGTGTATAATATTGTTTTGGACGGCAAGAGAGGTTTATACTGCTGTTACGGACGGCAAGAAAGGTTTATATTGCTGTTACGGACGGCAAGAAAGTGTATATTGCTTTGTCGAACAGGCAAGAAAGGTGTATATAGCTGTTACGAACGTCAAGAAATGTGTATATTATTGTTATGGACGGCAAGAGAGGTTTATACTGCTGTTACGGACGGCAAGAAAGGTTTATATTGCTGTTATGGACAAGAAAGGTGTATATTGCTATTATGGACAAGAAAGGTGTATATTGCTGTTACGAACGTCAAGAAATGTGTATATTATTGTTATGGAAGGCAAGAGAGGTTTATACTGCTGTTACGGACGTCAAGAAAGGTTTATATTACTGTTACGGACGGCAAGAAAGTGTATATTGCTTTTACGGACGGCAAGAAAGGTGTATATTGCTGTTACGAACGTCAAGAAATGTGTATATTACTGTTACGGACGGCAAGAAAGGTTTATACTGCTGATACGGACAGCAAGAAAGGTTTATATTGCTGTTACGAACGTCAAGAAATGTGTATATTATTGTCATGGACGGCAAGAGAGGTTTATACTGCTGTTACGGACGGCAAGAAAGGTTTATATTACTGTTACGGACGGCAAGAAAGTGTATATTGCTTTGTCGAACAGGCAAGAAAGGTGTATATTGCTGTTACGAACGTCAAGAAATGTGTCTATTACTGTTACGGACGGCAAGAGAGGTGTATATTGCTGTAATGGACAAGAAAGGTGTTTAAAAGGTTTTACGAACAGGCAAGAAAGGTGTATATTGCTGTTACGGACGGCAAGAAAGGTGTATATTGCTGTTATTGACAAGGAAGGTGTATATTTCTGTTACGAACGACAAGGAAGGTGTATATTTCTGTTACGAACGACAAGGAAGGTGTATATTGCTGTTACACTCACTCATATGCTCCCTCTCCTTCTCACACCCACACACCCTGTTTCACTCACTCAGTTCGAAACACAAAATGAAGCTTCAGTCTTGCATTATCATGGTGCTAATGTACAGCATTTCGCTTCACTATTCTTACCTTGCGCAAGGCTGGAGGACGCGTCGCTCGAACCAACATCGTCACTCTGAAACAAACACAACCATCGTTATTTACCTACAAAACAACAGCTGGACAACGCGTATAGAGACGCGCAACAAAGTAGAAACGTCGATTGATCAATTCAAAGACCTGACTATTTAAGAAGTTCTTGACTCAATATGATACGCTTAATAAACATAAGTTTCAGGGACTTGAAACAGACCACATCATCACTTTGGTCTTGTGAGGTCTCCATTCACATGCATCCCATAAATGCTGCTTTTCATATCACTCAATTTAAATTTCATATATTGCGTCAAGTATGACCTTATGTTCCAAGTTTATATTTATGCTATCCATATGATTGTTAAATTAAGCCTCATATCATATCTATATTTACCGTAAGTCATACCCGTACCCAATAAGTCATACTTGTTCATTCACATAATTTGGTCTTATATTACACAGGTAATGACATATTTTGCAAATGGGGCCAATGGGAATCAGCGGTTAGAAATTGTGACACAGCTAAAATATTGCTATTGCTTAATGCGGCGTAAAGCAACATTTACTCTCGTATTTATATTAGATATTGCATAACATATTTCCATGAGACATATCATATATTACATTATTCACATTTCATATAACTGGGTACAATGTGTGAAGCCCATTTCTGGTGTCCCCCGCCGTGATATTGCTGGAATATTGCTAAAAGCGGCGTAAAACCATACTCACTCACTCACTCACTCATATAACATGTATAGATAGATATTCCCCAATTCATGTATGAATATATAACATGTCAATATTTATTCTTCGAATCAGGTGATAATATCTTCGATATAATGTCCATATTTTCGGCGATTAATACAAGTATATTCTTTGAGTCATCGTCCGTATTATTTGAAGTACCAAATAACTCACTTTTGTGCATTTCACCAGTTTTTTTCCGAATAAGGATTTATTGAATCCCGACCACACTGTGTATTCTCGTAATACATGTGAATATGATGACGGTTATATTTTTCTCTATGTATCATGATATCCACCTAACAATGTACATACATTCCAAGAATAAGATTGATATATCCCATGCACCACATGCATTTCACGAAATGTTAATGGTCCACAAATACCACGATTCAAGCCCACATATTCTTTCAATGAATACCTGTATTAGCCATCATATAAAAACAATTAAAACACATCTGTGACTCTCTCTATTGTTTGAACGCTACATAATTTTTCAGGAATGGAGACTTGTTTGTCAACAATACATTTGTTGAATCAAGATTGAAATTGATTTCCACTTGGAATATACGGAACTATTTTTTACTTTTATTGACAAGTGAATAATTCAATTATTTTTCCGAAAACATGTGCCGCCAGCGAGGTTCGAACCCGCATCGTTTCATTTGAGGACGTGTAATTGTCAACCTCAGCTACGGCGGCACATGAAGTTATAGTGTGAAATGTGAAATTAACCATTAAATGTTGTCATAATTTTTCCTAATCCTTAAAAGCCAGTATATATTCTGTGTTAGTGAAAGATACCTACACCAATGTTCATAGCTATAGCAATTAGATAAACCTTGGACGAGAAAAATCAAATCAGGTAATATATATATATATATATATATATATATATATATATATATATATATATATATATTTGTTTGTTTGTTTGTTCGGGGCTCTATATTTCCTGTTATTCCCGTCAGCATGTATTGATGTGCAATACTAGTTCAGGTCACAACGAAATTATGAAGTGCCGTGTACCAAGCATTGTAAATATCAGCTCGCGACGGGGCTTGGTGCACGTGCAACAGCGGCAGAGAACGCATTCCTCGTGCATCACGCAAGGGCGACTCACGCAGTAAAAATACAGCCAACAATGAGTTCTGGTTTATTTTTCAAATATTTTCCACAACAGAATATTTTGTCAAAGTGTAAAGTAGGGAAAAGTTTTAAGTAGGGGAATATCCTCGTAACTCTCCATTCCTTAAAAACTCTGCTCCATTATTTTTAAGAAATGGAGAGTTACTCGGACATTCCCCTCTACAAAAGTTACTGTAATAAACGTTGAATGACACTCCAACATGCACATAATAATTAATATGTGTAATGATAAATAATAAATAAAAGCGACACAAATTATATCCATATTCTGAAGAAATCTCTTCTAAAAGATGAGTCCACTGTTCGAATCCTGACTATATTAAACCCTGCTAAAACAACATGCACAAGCTGCACGTTGTACATACGCCAAAAAAACCAAGGAAATATGTTTTTCGTATATGTGTTTGATCGGAATTGTAAATCAACTCTCCTTTTTGCAGAAAGTTCTTAGGATTTTAATGCTTTTATTTAATATAACACTGAGCAACATTGATCTCACCTTGCGTTTCTATATGGAGACGCTTTTCAGAAGACTTTACATTGCATTAAACTGAGGCGTATTCTCATTTGTTGTATATTGTGGTGAATGTCACAGATCTCATTATGCACGATACAACGATCTTGTTTTAATGTTAATGTTTTTGTTAAACGCCTCTTCATTAACAAATCGGAATAATAAAGCTTCAAGATGAAGCCGACAGCTCATGATACAGGGAGCGGATGATACCTTATATAGAAAAAAATGACATTGTTTACGCCCGATGGAATCTGTTATTCTCTGTCGTTGGCGTTATATAATTACATATGCCAGACAGAAAAGTAGGCGGATTCACTTAAATCCCAGTATCTTATACAGTATAGTAATGTACGTGCTGTCCAGGACTGGTAATATATTAAACAAAAACAAAAGTCATCAATATATGCTCCGTCTCCACTACAGAAGAACATCCCCAAAGGTATTCATGATCCCTAACTTGTTTCGTTCAGTTTATAATTCAACTGTAAGCTGCTACTGTTATTGTGTATGCCAGATTGGAATACGTCAACATTCTTTCCATATTCACGAGGAAGCTCTGCCCAAAACAGAGTTTATGAATCACTATCAAATACTATAATACCAGGAGTCCGCGAAAAGGTGAGCGCATTCTTCCCCACCCGTGGCACCCGTCACAAACACATACAAAGGAAAGTCAATTATTAAAGGCATGCGGAAATGATCAACGTCATAACCACGAATACCCAGTTCATAAGAATCCCATGTTTCTGCAGATGGTCGCAAGTACTGCACCACATGATATGATTCAAAGAAACGGGGAGCAATTGAAAGTGCTGTCAAATGCGTATTGCCATTGAACATTTACAAAACATGTCTTCACTTAATCGACTTTGGTTTCTGTATTTACATGAGTTTGTCACTTTAGAAACAAACACAACACAGTATATGAAAATGAATATAGGATACGATTTAAAAATGCTGATTCGTAATGAAATATTATTCAGGTTTATATTTCACTGGTCATAAAATGTAAATTGTCCCATCATGACGGCGCAGTTACGGAAGTTACGTATATCATACCATTCAACGTGACAGATATACATTCAACAGATATACATGTATCTGTAAATGTGCGTTTATCGATTGGTATGTCGTGATACTATTGACTCAAGGCGATTCCCGTTAATGTGGTCAAACGATCAACCGTTTGTCTTTACACGTCAGAGTTAATAAACACATAGAGAAGTATTGAGCCATCATATGTGTATGTGTTGCTTCATGCAGGAAGTGATGACCCTATATTGCCAGCATTAATTTGCCACTGTAACAAACGGCAAAAAGTTATTTATCTTGCAGATTGGATTGAGATACGAATCATCAACTATTTAGGCAAAACATATTTACCTCTCATCGTTTAATAAGTGAACCCTATAAATATATTGATTTGAGGACACGTAATTTTCTAAGTTAAGACTTCCATTTCCTTATACACAAATATGGCTAACAAGTGGAATTAAAAAAAATGAACAATAATTATATCACAAAGAGAAGACAACAGTTAAAGTTAAAGCCAGGCCTATCTGACCTTTTGTAATGTTTTACTCACATATTTTACATAGTTTTATACATTTGCCTCTTTGTATAATGCAATACATGCCTTCAGACATTAGGTTTATATATTCTGTACATATGCCAGGAAGTCATATCATTTTGAACATATTTGGCATTATTTTAAACGGATGGTCTTCGACATACCCGAGACTGTGATTAAAAAACCCGAGATTGTTTAAGGGATTTAAATGTACAGTGATGCTGTGAATCTAATACAGCATGGCTTGGGATTGTTACACACAGCTCCAATCTGTGCAGTGAGTGTAGCACTACTATAGGTCACATGTACACAACACTCATCTGTGCAGTGAGTGTAGCACTACTATAAGTCACATCTACACAGCTCCCATCTGTGCAGTGAGTGTAGCACTACTATAGGTCACATCTACACAACACCCATCTGTGCAGTGAGTGTAGCACTACAAAAGGTCACATCTACACAACACTCATCTGTGCAGTGAGTATAGTACTACTATAGTTCACATCTCCACAACACCAATCTGTGCAGTGGGTGTAGCACTACTATAGGTCACATCTACACGACACTCATCTGTACAGAGAGTGTAGTACTACTATAGGTCACATCTACACAACACCCATCTGTACAGTGAGTGTAGTACTACTATAGATCACATCTCCACAAAACAATCTGTGCAGTGGGTGTTGCACTACTATAGGTCACATCTACCCAACACTCATCTGTGCAGTGAGTGTAGTACTACTATAAGTCACATCTCCACAACACTCATCTGTGCAGTGAGTGTAGTACTACTATAAGTCACATCTCCACAACACTCATCTGTGCAGTGAGTGTAGTGCTCCTGTGGGAAACATCTACACAACACTCATCTGTGCAGTGAGTGTAGTACTACTATAAGTCACATCTACACAACACTCATCTGTGCAGTGAGTGTAGTACTACTATAAGTCACATCTCCACAACACTCGTCTGTGCAGTGTGTGTAGTGCTCCTGTGGGAAACATCTACACAACACTCATCTGTGCAGTGAGTGCAGTACTACTTTAGGTCACATCTC